TGCCTCGGGCTTCCTGTAGTCAGCTGCTGGTCAGTTTCAGCAGCAGCTGAATCTGGACGCCAGTTCCGACTTACATACAGATTCAACTTAAGAACAAACCTACAGTCCCTATCTTGTACGTAATCCGGGGACTGCCTGTATTGGCATTGGAAAAGGTTCAGAACAGGGCAATAAAAATGGCTAGGGGTTTGGAACAGGTCCCATATTAAGAGAAATTAAAAAGACTTGGGCTTTTCATTGTAGAAAAGAGGAGAGTAAGGGGGGGAATGATAGAGGTATATAAAAGCATGACTGGCATGGAAAAAGTGAATAAGGAAAAGTTATTTACTTTTTCCCACAATATAAGAATTAGGGGTCACCAAATGAAATGAATAGGCAGAAGGTTTAAAACAAACAAAAGGAAGTTTTTATTCACTCAGCGCACAGTCAACCTGTGGAACTCCTTGCCAGAGGATGCAGTGAAGGCTAGAACTTTAACAGACTTCAAAAAAGAGCTAGATAGATTCATGGAGGTTAGGTCCATCAATGACTATTAGCCAGGTTGGGTAGGAATGGTGTCCCTAGCTTCTGTTTCTTTGGAGGTGGGTGACAGGGGAGGGATCACGTGAGGATTACCTTTTGTGATCCCTCCCTCTGGGGCGTCTTGACATTGACCACTGTCGACAGACAGAATACTGGGCTAGATGGACCTTTGGTCTGAGCCAGTATGGCCATTCTTATGTCATGAAGGGATGAAAGCAAGTGCAGGAAATCCTCATCATTCACAAATACTGGAAGCCATGCTCCCAGCCCCTGTGATAAGCTTCCCGCGACTCCCAAACTCACTACAGGGACTGGGAGCCATGGTAAATTCCCCACAGCTAGTTTCTCCTGGTCCCTGTCACCCTTCCCCTCCACCCAGGACAGGACAGAAGACCTGCGAATAGCAATTCTGTGAATCATGAGGGTCTCCCGTATGATCAGTGTTCCAAGACCATAGATGATTCATCATAACAATGTTGCATTATCAGATAATCTTCCATATCTTTTTGCCTGCTACATAGTCTGCTAAAGACTAATACAGGACTTCTGTCACCTTTGTGGTTGTTGCAGATTCTTACAAATCAAGTACTTGTGAAGGGAGAGTAAAGCAATGGTGTTCTTAATTTTCACGATATCATGGAATCAAAACAGAACACTAAAGGGTTGACGACTTGCTCAAGTGTGTTAATGAGCATTTACATGGCATGTCCGCTAGCCAAAATTGAAATTCAAAACTGCAGAATCACTACTCCCAATCTCAGAAAACGGAGATTATCCTGGTTTTTATCCTTTTTCCTTTCTGTGTGCTGCAGCTGCCTCGCTCCTTTTGCCATTTGTTTTTGTATTGAACATTAACAAAAAATAATGTTCCTGTGATTGGAGTTTGTTTGCTTTGCAGGGCCCTGTTTTGGTACAGGGCTCCATCCAGTTCTCATCTGCCTCTGCAGCTGCATAGTCTCCAGAGGCTACAAGTTTCCTGCCTCTGCAGCTGCAGGGGCTACTCCACAAGAGGCACTTCCCCTCTGGTGCAGTTTAAATCACATGAGCCATACATGCATACATACACTTGTCCACTTCCCCAGGGCACACCCCAGAACTATGTCCCGCCTGTCTCCAGTACTGGGATACTGAAATCATGGCACCGAGAGTGACTGGTGAGGTCGGGGGAGGGATGCACAGAATGTGCTTAGTATATTCTAAGCATGCTAGCCAAGTTCCCCTGTGGCTGAGTGTGAGCCAGCCCAGAAAGACATTTAAAGAGGCTCTGTGTGGCCTGAAGTAAATCTCCTGTCTGGCAGCTCAAAATAGAATTGTGCCATGGAGAAGGGCTCCTGGGAACCATTGGCAGCAGATCTCTAACCCTCTACCCTCTCCTCTTCCCCACTAATTGGAGTCGGGAGTCCTCCTATTCAGTGCCTGGGCGTGGGATTGAGGCTTCCTGCCCATGTGAGGCAGCTCCCACTGCCTGCTGACCTCAGCAAGAGATGAATGGCTATAGAAGCATGATTTGGAGTTGGGGGAGGAAGCTAATTTACATTTGCCCTCTACACATTGGTCAGTTCTTCACAGAATTTGGAGTGACTGAGGTAGTTATATTTACACATCATGTTCACTCCCTCTGCTCCAGCATGTACACACAACATGTGCTTGTGTGCAAGCACATGCAAATTTCTGTAACCCAAATAAGTCACATGCCCAGAAAAGTCAGTGTAGCTTCTGCTGATGATTGTCCAATATAACTCTCATTAGTATAAACACAGATCAGGGGTTTCCCATTCAATGTTTTGCCCAAGTGTTCCTCTCTGGAATCCAGTTTGGATTGAGAAATACGAGACTTATTTAATGGCTGAATAATGAATAAATGTGAAAATGAATAGACAAAGTAATTTAATTTAATCTTCCTTTGAAATTCAGAAATGGGGAGGGTAGTTCTGCCTTTGAAAGCCTCCCCGGCAGCTGGTTTTCATGAAAGGTCACTATGACACTTTTGAAAGAACCCCATGGAATCTTGCCCTGTTGGTTCATTCAGAGTTTATACCTCTGGAATTCACATGAAGTTGAATTATATTTACATTCAGCTTCAGTTGTGTGCAGCCTGTTCTTCAATATGGGGCAATGTGTCCTGAAAACAGCAGAACAAGGTTGTTGATCAGTTGTTTTTTTTCTGGTTGAGTTCAAGAAATTGTAACATGCCTTTATTTATATGTTTAAAGTATTTGTTTCTCCTATTATTTTTTAGAGAGAAATCACTGGGGCCAGGGTAATAGATCATTGTCTGCTATTTCCTGTTGTTTTTGGAACAAATAACTGTCCAAGAAAAACTATGCACGTACAGTACTAAAACATGTTCCAAACAAAATCCTTCTGCAAAACCCAAAATTACATCTAAATTCCATCCCGCTATTTAAGATTAATTCTGTTAGCACTTTGGAGATTACTATTAAGCTTGACTACTTCCTAAATATTGTACTGGTCACAATTTAAAAATATCATTGTAGTTTTGACAATGCATTGTTTCTTCTCCTTTTGTGCACACTGGTAAGCCCACCCTGATCTTTGCAAAGACCATTTTGTTTTCTTAGAAGAGAGAACAAGCTCAGTTCTGATGAGCAAAAGCGTTCGTTTCCCTATTAGCCATTCTTCTAAGGCAGCAGTGGGGAACCTCAGGCCCAGGGGCTGGATGCAGCCTGCACTGGTGCTCCAGCCCCACCCCCCACCCCCCGCTATCCACTGCAGGGCCGGAGCACACAAAATCTACTAGTCTGGTCCCCCATAGGCTCTGGTGTGTGAGTGGAATGTGGGTTTTTTGCTTCTCAGTCGGGGGCTGCAGTGAGGGTTTTTTACTTATGTGCAGCCCCCAACTGATTTTTCTGTGGGTCAGAGGTCCCCTACCCAAAAAAGGTTCCCCGCCCCTGTTCTAAGGTCTACACTGTACACCTATTTTTGTATTAACATTACTATATTGCAGGGGTTCTCAAAGTTTGTGACACCGCAACCCTCCTCTAAGTTGCTCGCGGCCTTCCTCTAAGTTGCTGCAACCCCTCTCTAAGTTGCTCGCGACCCCCCAGGGGGGTCGGGACCCACAGTTTGAGAAACGTGACTATATTGGAATAAAGTTGTCCTGGTTTGGGGTGTGGGTCTTTAATTTGTTTAAAAAAAAAAAAAAAAACTCCAGGTTAGGATGTGTTTCTGTTTATTCTCTTTGGCTAACAAACTTGTTTAGCTTTCTTGTTACAAATATTATTAATTAATAAAAAGGCTTGCTAACTCTGATTTTTTTTCTTGCTGTTTACACTCCTGTAGCAGCCCAAAAATCTGATTCAAAGCCCATTAAAATCAATCGGAGTCTTTCTGCTGGGCTTTGGTGTATTTTAAAACTAATTTAAAATTGTCATTGAATTGTTAACAAAACACTTATAGGAGGCTTAGATTGTGACTGCAGCTTGTATTCTGTGGGAGGCAGCAATACCTAGTGGTTAGCATAGGAAACCTGTACTCTGTCCTTGACCTGGGGCGCCAGTCCTGCTAGATGTACCATTTGAATTGATCCCTAAACCTATGAAGAGCCCTATTTACCTCAAGCATTAACTACCGGCATGACCTTTAATTTTCTCTCTGATCAATAGTGAATCAATATATCTAGTCACTTTTGTTGTTGTTTCAGGTGCCAATTAAAGAGCTCTTTTGTAGAAGTGCATGCCTTACAAATAGGTTTTTGTAATCTATTTTTAAATTTTGTAAGGCACAACTTGTATTCCTCTTATAGCAAGTTAACATACTCTGTATTTCATGGTCTGTTGACCTTAATTGTGATTGGACAGGCGTTAGGAAAATTACTTAATGGAAACTTTGCTTCTAAAGCTGAAATAACTGTTGAGTGTTTAATATAACTATATTAGGAAACAAACTTATTGTTTGTTGTGTTTTCTTTGTTCTGTTCCAGACTTGGGAAGTCCTGAAGGAATAGCAATAGATCACCTCGGTCGCAACGTTTTCTGGACTGACTCTCACCTTGATAGAATAGAAGTGGCCAGACTGGATGGTACCCAGCGCCTAGTGCTGTTTAACAGTGATCTGGTGAACCCAAGAGCCATAGTAACAGATTCTGTGAGAGGGTATATAGATAGTTTATAGACACATTTGTTTTTAATACATATTTTATGTATATTTTCTAAAACCATCTACCTTTTAACACTGTCTTCATATGTTGATATAAAGCTTCAATATCCTTTTTTCAGTCCCAAAAATCCTTCTATAAAGTAATATATTACTAGGTGCTTTATTGGGGGAATGAAAATTTCTTTCAGAATGCTTTAGAAGCATTTTTCCCCAGGCACAATACAGGCAGTCCCCGGGTTACGTACAAGATAGGGACTGTAGGTTTGTTCTTAAGTTGAATCTGTATGTAAGTCGGAACTGGCGTCCAGATTCAGCCGCTGCTGAAACTGACCAGCAGCTGACTACAGGAAACCCGAGGCAGAGTTGCTCTGCCCCAGGCTTCCTGGAATCAGCCTCTGATCAGTTTCAACAGGCTGAATCTGGACGCCAGTTCCAACTTACATATAGATTCAACTTAAGAACCCCAGGCGGCCCCAAGTCAGCTGCTGCTGAAACTGATCAGCAGCTGATTCCAGGAAGCTGGGGCAGAGCAACTCTGCCTGGGGCTTC